TAAAAGATAGGGAAATGTTATGTATTAGAAGAAGACATATCTACTATGAAGAAGTAATTTTATTCCTGCATTTTCATGCCACAGGTTACTTGTGAATGGAATATCTTTCAGGCATGTTAGAATTTACATGGGTTATGCTGTGATAGAAATTGTAGCCTTTCGCTGGTTAATGCCTTAATTTTTTTTCAACTTTGCTATTTAAATAAATGTTCCTTATTTCCAAGTAGGGCCCTACATCATCCTCTGGTTTTCCCATGCCCAAATTCCCCTGGATGGCTCTCTAAGACTACATTTTTCCCCCTTAGTGGTCAAAAAGAGTAAATTCTGCACAGCATTTCTTGAGTGTTTTTCTCACTGCAGGTATACGTTTGTCTACATAATCAATAAGTCAAAATATTTACAGGAGACATTAAGTGAGGATTATTTAATTTTCACAACCTAAGTGACATATCCTCTTTTTAAAACAGCTTTGAGATATGATTCCCATATCTTACTATTCACTCATTTAAAGTGTCCAATTCAGTGGTTTTTAGTGTATTCACAGATATGTGCAACCAACATCAAAGTCAATTTTAGAGTATTTTTATCACTTGAAGAAGAAACCTTGTACCCTTTAGCTATCAACTCCACTACGTCCCCACTCCATCTCCATCCTTAAGCAACTGATTTACTTTCCATCTCTATAGATTTCCCTATTCACGGTATTGCATGATTACAATCATGTAGTAGGTGGTCTTCTGTGACTGGCTTCTTTCACTTTACTGATAAGGTTAAGTTTATCAAAGAGTTTTATAATAAAAAAAAGTGTCAGTTCAGGAGGATTTAACAATGATGAACATAGATGTACCTCAGAATAGAGCACCAAAATACATGAAGCAAAAACTGACACAAAGGAAGGAAGACATTGATAATTCAGTAATAATAGTTGGAAACTTCAATACTCCATATTCAATAATGGGTAGAACAGCTATGCAGAAGGACAGCAAGGAAATAACATGAGCAGCACTGCACTCAGCTACACTAGCAGATGTCTATAGTACACTGCCCCAGCAGGAGCAGAGGCCGCATGCTTCTGCAGTGTACAGGCATATTCTCTAGAACAGACTATATGCTAGGTCATAAAGAACCTCAATAAATATAAAAGGACAGAAGTAATACATAGTATTTTCTCTGCCCAAAGTGGAAATGAAATTAGAAGTCAATGACAGGAAGAAAAAAAAATACTGGGAAATGAAAACTATGTGGAAAGCAAGCACCACACTTCTAAATAACCAGTAAGTCAAAGAAGTCATAAAATACTTCCAGATGAAGGAAAATAAATTTATGGGAGGCAGGAAAAGCAGTGCTTAGAGGGAAATGTATACCTATAGATGCCCCTATTAGGAGAAACACAAATATCTCAAGTCAATAATCTAACCTTCTGCGGTAGGCAGCTAGACAAACTAGAGCAGAGGAGGGACAATAGGCCAGGTACAGAAGGTCACTAGGGTGGAAAGCCTCAAGTACTTAGCAACAGGCGAAGTGGGAAAACAAGGACCTTGCCTCCAGGATAACCTTTCCTCCCCTAGCCTATCGCTGGTCATGCAGTTCAGACCCTTCCCTGACCTTTCCTCCCCTGGCATGTTGCTAGTCATGCAGTTGGATCCCCTTAGAGGTCGAACGACCCCCATCAAATACATTTAGCCTCAGTTGTGTTTCAGCTCCAGGCCCAGAAAAGCAGCAACACCAGATAAATGACACGCTACCCGTGTGGACTAATGACCCCCTGCCCAGGTGCCTACCAATGAGTAGAGACCTTGACCTGGAAAGGACACACCTGGAACGTTGATGAATAGTCTACTGGGAGCCTCCCTTGAGACGTCCAGATAAATACCCTCAAGGCAGAGGACCCAGTTGGGCTCTCTCTATGGAGCACACCAGCATCTGCCTTCCCCCTCCTCCTCCTCCCAGGCACGTTTTCCTTGTCTCTCTTCTCCTCAGCTCCAAGGGCCCTTCTTTTGCCTCTGTAACCTGTTTCCTGGGCCCATTTCTTCTATGGCTCACTTCTACCTCTGTGACTTTCTAAATAAACTTTCTCTTATAGTTTGAGTCTTAGCTCTGAATTCTTTCTTAGCGGAACTCAAGAACTAAGATTGCTGAACCAAGGTCCTCTCTGACTCCACCTGTCTAACACCTGTTGCCATTTTTTGCAGCTGCCAACAAGTTCACTTGAAGACACTGGAAAATGAAGAGAAAACTAAACCTATAGCAAGCTGAAAGAAGAAAATAGAGCAGAAATTAATGAAATAGAGAATAGAAAAATGAAACTTTAAACATTTGAAACTTTACTGATTATAATAAATTGTATTAAAATATTTACAGAAAACATTAAACAGGGATTATTTTTTTAAAAAATAAGTGACATTTTCTTTTAAAAAAATATATTTCTTTATTGATTTCAGAGAGGACGGGAGAGGGAGAGATAGAAACATCAATGATGAGAGACAATCATTGATCGGCTGCCTCCTGCATGCCCCCTACTGGGGAACGAGCCCACAACCCGGCCATGTGCCCTTGGCCAGAATAGAACCTGGACCCTTCAGTCTGCAGGCCGACGCTCTATCCACTCAGCCAAACCGGCTAGGGCGACATATTTTCTTATGCATTTAAAAATATCAGATTCAACATGGCTTCTTATATACCTGTTATAAGAAGCTAACCTTTGTGAAAATATCTACCAGGTGCTGTCTTCTAATTAAGATTCTGAATTTTTGGAAACTATCCATCAAACCTTGAGTCCATTTCAATTCCAAGCTTTTCAGAAATCTGACCTAATAGAGTACTGCTTAGGTTATTTACAAATCCATGCCCGATTGCTCATGCCACCACTTCCAGCTATGTGACTCTGGACAAATTGCTTAATATCTTTGAGATTTATCTTCCTCTTCTATAAAATAGAGGTTAATTTTCTTAATCTGAGAGGAATTGTGAGATAACATACCCAAAAGATCCAAGTTCAATACCTGGTACATTGCAGTACCTATTCTGTAATCACTTGATGATTTAAAAACGGAATGACAGCCTAATTGCCCATATGGCATGAGTACACATCCGTGAATATGCTTTTAAAGAAGAGAACTGAAGAAAAGAATGTAATGTTGGATCCTGTGTGCCAGGCTTTGGGCTAGTCCTGTGATCTGTAGCTGTACCACGTAGAACTTATTTGATCATTTGGACTGTTTTAACAACAGCTAAAATACTCAACTTGGGCAAAAGACACATCCTGGCCTAAATTGATTGTTTTAGCAATAGGTTATAAAGATGAAATATGTGCACCCTTAAAAAGTCAAGCCTCTTATAATTTAACTTTTTTGTTGTCATATATGTTTAGTGGTGTAAGAAATTGTATCCCTGTGTCTTAGGTAAGCATACTTCTTAGTTGTACAACTCTGTGGACCCTTTTAGACTACAGCTAGTGGCATTTGAAGGGGTGCAGAACAGGCCTCCCGAGGATGTGCCCCTTTGGCACTTGAATTATTTTGAGCTGAAGGCAGTCAAGACCCCACAGGCTCGAAAGAAACGTTTTCCTCTCCCTAAAGAATCTATATTAAGGGCCTTGCGCATATTAGAGTTATCACCAGAAATGACTTTATGATCTATGCATAGGACAGACACTTAACTACTCAACAGCTGCTCCTCTTATGTTCCAATGATTGACTTTTTCCCCTCTGAAGCCCAAGGCTCTTTACCTCCTCCTTAGCTCAGAATGTCATGTACATCTCATTTTATCTTTTTGTCTCTGAACCTCTCATGTATGTGGGAGGTCTCTGACTATCTCATGTACATGAGGTTCCCACCCATATGTATGTAACTGAATTTGGCTATTTTCTCTTGTTAAAGTGCTTCATGTTAATGTAATATCTAGACCAGCCAGAAGAACCTGGAAGGGCAAAAGGAATTTTCTTCCTGGCCCACACACAAGCACATTTATAAACTGATAGGCAAGATAACTGATTGAATCATGTTATTACTCAAAGCATATTGTGGCAGGCGCTTTTATGCTTATTCTGTTTATTGTGTGATTGATGGCTATGAAATTGAATATTCTCACCAGCAATACAAGCTGCAAGCTGAGACTGAGGCTAGTGCTTCTCAAAACATTAACATGAATATGAATCACCTGGAGATCTTGTTAAACTGTAGATTCTGATTTATCAGGTCCTGAGTGGGGCCAGCGAGTCTGCATTTCTAACAAGTTTCCAAGAGTTGCCAGTGCTTCTGGTCCAAGGACCACACTGTGAGCAGTCAGGTTGTGTAGAACCCTGGTGGGCAGGGCATGAGTTGGAACTGACTAGAGCTCTCTGTTGTTATGCATCATGGTCCCAACTATCTGTTCACACTCTCTGAGTTTAATGAACTTTCTTAACTGAGCTCTGAAATTCAGAGGCGTTGAATAGCAGTGATTCTATTCTTAAATTTTGCATATCATAATGATCAAATACAGTAATAGAACAATACTATGTCTACCTTGTCATGCATTGTCTATAGTTCCTTTGTGTTGTCTATTAGGCTGCCCACCTCTCAGACCTCTTTATACTGTATCTTAGTGAATATCTGAGGTGGTGTATATGAAATATATCCATTTCCATTCTCTAGAGCTCTCTGGCTGCCATTGGCCCTTGCTATATGCCAAAGAACAATGAATAGAAACTGCTTAAATGCCAGCAAGACTTTTGTTACCAAATGAAAAGAATCATTTGCAATTGTTAAACTCAGGCCTGATTTCTTGTCTAATACCTTAAATGAGCATTTCTGGAAACTTCAGGGGAGCCTAATTTCACGTCTTTAGTCATTTAGATGAGAGTGCAGATTGAGGTTCACCGGTAGAGTCTGAAGTGTGTTGAACTTGATTTTGTATGCAATTTGACATGAGAGGCATTATTTCAAGATGTGTCCAGTTCAGTTCTTAATATGAAGTAGATGTGGCTTGACATGTAATGCATGCCTCTGGTTTCTTACAGAACACAGGGATAGTCCCAGCAAGGACAGGAGGAAACCCAGAGCAAGGGAACGGGCAGGAAGGAGCAGCCTGGCTGACGACGTGGCAGTGCTCAAGAGCGGCTTCGCAACAAAGGCGCTTTCTGCCTATGGGAACAAGACGGACAGCGCGAGAGAGCAGAGGACCCACAGAAGAACAAAGCGTTTCTTGTCCTACCCACGGTTTGTAGAAGTGATGGTGGTGGCAGACCGAAAAATGATTTCATTCCATGGAGCAAATCTTCAACACTATGTTTTAACTTTAATGTCAATTGTAAGTACACATAAAAGAACCTGATTTATGAGCCCCTGCAGGTACCATGGGGTGAGGGGGGCTTCCATGCAGGGCTTTGGAGGATCATTCAGGGCTGGCATTTCACCGACTCAGGCAAGTGACTGGAAAGAACATAGATTGTTCATTGGTTGCTGTTTTGTAACAGTCATGGCTATCATTGAGTGTTTGTTCTGTGATCATTTGACAATGTGCTTGTTACTTAAAAGGCATAATTTCTAAACCTTCGGGCAACTCTGCTAGGTAGGATTATCATCCCTATTTTATAAATAAGAAAACTGAGCCTCAGAGGAGGTGGGTCACTTGCCCATGGTCCTGTGAAGGCATGGAGACTGATGTGACATCTCGCTGGTCCCGTTGCTGAGACCAGCCCTCTGTCTGACAGGCGAGCTCGCACAGCCAGCTGTGAGTCTCGAGGCTTCCCCTGCTGGCTGTGAATCAGTCACCTAGGCTCTTCCCCAGGATTCTAATTAGCCCTCGGGTGGGGCCTAGAAATCTCTCCCTCTATTTTTCTATGCCCATTTTGAATTGAAAGAGCAATACATTTGCATAATTTTTAAAAATCTAACATAAAAGTTCATTGATGAAAAATAACTTGTTCTGCCCTACCCGGTTTGGCTCGGTGGATAGAGTGTTGGCCTGTGGACCAAAGAATCCCGGGTTCGATTCTAGTCAAGGGTACATACCTTGGTTGCAGGCTCCTCCCAGCCTGGGCCCTCGTCGGGCTTGTGCAGGAGGCAACCAATCAATGTGTTTCTCTCACATCAATGTTTCTCTCTGTCTTTCTCTCTCTCTTCCACTCTCCCTAAAAATCAATGGAAAAATATCCTTGGGTGAGGATTGACAAAATAAGGAAGTCATTGTTTCCTTTAAAAAAATAAATAACTTGTTCCCTACTCATGCTTCCACTCCTTCCCAGAGGCAACCATTAGTAAGCTTTTTTGGATATGTTTCTAAACGGCTCTGCCCAATAGAGATACAATGTAAGCCACATATATAATCTGATATTTTCTAGTAGCCGAATGAAATAAAACAAGTAGGTAAATTAATTTTAATAATGCATTTTTATTTTATATTCAAATATTACTTCAAACATTATTAATGAGATATTTTAATACTTTTCATACTAAGCCTTCAAAATCCAGGATGTTTTATCCTCACTGCACATCTCAGTTGGGACCAGCCACATTTTTAGTGCTCAGTGACTATGCGTGGCAAGTGGCTACCGTATCGGATGGCACTCAACACTTCTTAAGCATATATGTATGCATTTACAACTGGTTCTCAAACAGAAATGCAGAATTGTCCTGGACTGTTTTACACATTGCTTTTTTCTTGAAATATTGGAGGTGGTTGTTTTTTTAAAATATATTTTATTGATTTTTTACAGAGAGGAAGGGAGAGGGATAGAGAGTTAGAAACATCGATGAGAGAGAAACATCGATCAGCTGCCTCCTGCACACTCCCCACTGGGGATGTGCCCGCAACCAAGGTACATGCCCTTGACCGGAATCGAACCTGGGACCCTTGAGTCCACAGGCCGATGCTCTATCCACTGAGCCAAAGCGGTTAGGGCTGGAGATGGTTTTCTATAGCAGTCCCTATGACCTTGCCCCCCTTCACTGACCTTAATTTATTTGAACAGGAATCTACTTTTTATATATTCCTCAAATGAATGTGGAAAGCAACCATGTTTGGGAACATTGCTTTAGAGTTTCTTCTTCCTGCTCCTTGGCCTATGGCTCTCCTTGTCTTTCCCTCACTGCTGTGAACCAGTCCCCGGTGCTCTCCACCCCACACCGGAGCCTGCCTCCCCTCCACCCTCCCGTGACCCACCTCTGCCATGCTCAGTCCTCTGTGTCCCAGCCTTCTCCTGTCCTGGAGCAGAGAAAGAAAAATCTAATCAGACCTTACACAGACTCAACTCCGTTCCCAACCCATAAATTCAGACCTGTCCTAAGAATTCTAATTGTGAGCATGGGCTGGGTCAAGTTGATAGAGGTTGAGAGTTCTGGCTCTGCTACTCGCCACTGTATATAGACTTGGCTGAGTTACTTCATTTCTCTGAGCCTTCATTTCTTCATTTGTTGGGTAGAGGTTAGAATGATGCCTATGAGAGTTCTGGCTCTGCTACTCGCCACTGTATATAGATAGACTTGGATGAGTTACTTCATTTCTCTGAGCCTTCGTTTCTTCATTTGTTGGGTAGAGGTTAGAATGATGCCTTGCACAGGTATTACAGAGACTAAATGCATATGCAGTTTTCAGCAAGGTCTAGTCCATGAGAAGCATCCAGTGAACGTTAGCTCTCATAATTAAACAATATGGGTGAAAAAACTAGGTACCGGGTTGTGGAGAACACAGATGTGTGGTAAGCATGCAGAGCAGCAGTATTGGCAAAGACGTGGACAATGTGAGATCCATAATTTGGCAATCCGGGACTTCAACTGGGAAGAAGGAGCTTGATCAAAGTTAATATCCAGTATTTTGGCATAGAGAACTATTAAGATGCATGGCCAAGCAATTTTTAAAGAAAGTACCTTAAAACTTAAATGTGTTAGAATTTATTATTATTTAAAACGTCCATCTATGAATAATTTTACGAAGATAGTTTTAATGAGTGTTTGATGAATGAATGAAAATTCAAAACTGAAAAATGCATATGCTGCATGAAATGTACAATTAGGTGGAGCCACACATAAGAAGTGAATTGCTTGCTGCTTACACAGAGTTCACAATTAACTTTGAAAAATTTATCTCGGTTGCAGGTAGCCTCTATCTATAAAGACCCCACTATTGGAAATTTAATTAATATTGTTGTTGTGAACTTAGTTGTGATTCATAATGAACAGGTAATCAAGTTTTTTTCTTCTTTCTTCTCTCTGTATCCGAAACGGCATGTGCAATCGGTACAACAACCAACCATCACTCTTTTCTGTGCTTAGGAGGGACCGCCCATCTCTTTTAATGCCCAGACGACATTAAGGAGCTTCTGCCAGTGGCAGAAGAACAACACAGGTGGGATCCAGCACGATACTGCCATTCTGATCACGAGGTACGCAGTCCTGAGGCTTCTCATCTCGCAGTTTCCAAGCAAGGTGATGGGAGGTGTAGGCTCCCGGCAGCCAGCCCCCGGCACCAGGCTGTTCCGCCTCAGCACTGTGGCAGTTGGGAGCAGATAACTCTGTTGTGAGGCGTCCTGTGCATGTCAGGATGCCTAGCAGCATCCGGGTCTCTGCCCACTACTGACCAGTAGCATTCCCTCCTCTCAGTTGTGACCACCCACAGTATCCTCAGCCCACAGAGGATGCCAAATGCCCTGTGAGGGCGGGGGTGGGCCGGGGTGGGCCAGGGTGGGGGAGGAGAGCACACAATCACCCCTGTTGGGGACCACTTACCCGAAGGTGCTGCGTTGGGCAGGCCTGAAAGGAAGTGGCCTTCTAGGGGGCCAGCGGCTCTTCAGATGGAGCCCGTTGTTACCAGGCGGGGTACAGTCCAGTGCTGCCAACTTCTGCGATTTTTCAAGGAGTCAGAGATATGCATTTGTCTATAAAGTGAACTCTCCCAATATTTAAATCGTAGCTGCTACCTAGAAAATATTCTCAAAAACTGTCTGGGGCAGCAAAGAGGCCCGCTGGCTTGCCATGCTGCCACCATGCGCCTCGGATTCGCTCCCAGGCACGCACTCATGAGCACAGAGGAGAGGCCTGTTGTCAGGAGTCTTTGGCATTAACTAGAATCACTTCCTCGGTGTATGAGGAAAAACCCTGGTCGGAAAGGTTTCTGCGGTCCCAGGCCACCCCTGAGGCAACAGGAGGCCTTTCCGTGTGGCTTTCTATCCTGAAATCAGTGGTTTTGTAACCCCCTCCCGACTGCGTGTGTGTTGTGAGGCCTGGAAGGCTCTGAAGTGGTGGCTGGTACGGATGTTTCCTCTCTGGTGTCATCAAGGCCCTAAGTGTGCTTTGCTTTCAGACAGGACATCTGCAGAGCTCAGGACAAGTGTGACACCCTAGGTGAGTCAGCTGTGCGGTCCTCTGCGCTCCAACCCTTTCCTGCATGTTTTCACTCTTAAGTCACAACTGCCTGTTCAAGTAAACCCTTGTTCTTTCCTTCCCATAGGTCTGGCTGAACTGGGAACCCTCTGTGACCCCTCCAGAAGCTGTTCTATTAGCGAAGATAATGGATTGAGCACGGCTTTTACCATAGCCCATGAACTGGGCCATCTGTATGTTTCCTTTCCCTATTTTCCTTGAGTTCAGAGTGACCTAAACTTTCTTCCTCTTCAACAGTGAGCCTTTCCTTGCCTTTCGAGGGCAAGACGCTGCTCGAGTCACAGTAGAATTTGCAGGATTGACGCACTTTGACCCTTGAAGGGAGAAGTGACTTTGGTTCCGGAAAGCTGAGTGAATGCCGTGCACCCTCTTTGGCCGCAGCCCCTGCGGATCTTTGGTTTAATTGCACACGTTTTCTATGAAAAGTCTAATATTCTCCCTTCCTACTGGGAATCGGAGGAGGAGGGCTTGACATCTTTGTCGAGGAAGGTCCATCATTGCCCAGCTCATGAGATTTTCACAAATCCAGATCCTCCCTGCTTCTGGTTATATGCTTATAATTCAGACAGGGATACCCCTCTGTCATGGGAGAGAATGAACAAAGAGAGAGCAAGGAAAACATGAATTTTGGTCACTAAGTGGTTATTGTGAAACTGGCTTTTCCTTTTGTTCTTTTAGAGGCAGAGCATGGTTAGAACATGTGGCAAAATATTGTAAATTTGCTAGAAACTTCTGCTATTTGAGCTGCATCATTTTCTTTCCATAAGTAATAATTAAATTACTTACATCTTTTTGAAATCATTTTCTCAGATGTCACTAATGGAGTTGCATATCAATATTCATGTCAGATGTTAACTTCATAACTGAAATCATCTGTTAAGAAAGCTCGATCATCCACCAGGCTTCCGAAGGCACCTCTGTGCAGTGTGCGGTGCTAGGCTAAAGCAAGGCAGATAGATAGGTATCTCTCCACTTCAGTTCAACATAGAATGGGTATATTTCAAAACTAGCACCTTTCAAACATATTTTAAGAGCATACCCCTTTTCTTTTCTCTAAAGGAAATGTGATCAGATACCCAATATTGATAGCGCACAAAAACTTGGCTTTCGTTAAGCAGCTGTGGTGGCCAGAGTCCCATTAGTCAGCTTGCTCTCTGTCCTTTTGGTTTCTCAAATGCTGTCATGAAACTCGAGGATTTATTGGAACTCAGTTTGAAAACTACTGATCCCCCCAGTGTTTCCCAAAGCACAGGAATTTGAACACCATTTCCAAAAGAATGGTCGGTGAAAACAAAAGTTTTGTAGTCTGATATTCTTTATTTTTCAATTACAGTTGACATTCAGGGTTATGCTATGTTAGCTTCAGGTGTACAGCAAAGTGGTTAGAAAAGCATGTACTTTCCAGAGTGGTCTCCCTGCCACTTCAAGTGCCCACCTGGCCCCAGACTAGTTATCACATACCAGTTATCACATACTAGTTATCATGATATTAGTGACTCTGTTCCCTGTGCCGAATTTTACATCCCTGTGACTGTTCTGTAACCACCAATCGGTACTTCTTAATCCCTTCACCTTTTTCCCCAGCCCCACCCCTTCCCCTCTAACAGTTGTCAGTCTGTTCTCTGTACCTGTCTCTATTTTGTTTGTGTGTTTATTTGTTCATTAGATTCCACATATAAGCGAAGTCTTTCTCTGTCGCACTTATTTCACTTAGCATAATACCCTCTAGGTCAGCAGTTCTCAACCTGTGGGTCACAACCCCTTTGGGGGTCGAATGACCCTTTCACAGGGGGTGCCTATGACGATCGGAAAACACATATATAATTACATATTGTTTTTGTGATTCATCACTATACCTTAATTATGTTCAATTTGTAACAATGAAATTGGGGGTCACTACAACATGAAGAACTGTATTAAAGGGTCGCGGCATTAGGAAGGTTGAGAACCACTGCTCTAGGTCCATCCATGCTATTACAGGGAGAAAAATGAGTTTTGTAAAAGTGATTTAAAATTTTTCTTTTTTTACTGAATTTTTTGGGTGACATTTAGGTTTTAAGTGTACAATTCCATAATACATCACCTGTATATTGTACTGTGTGTTCACCACCCAGTCAAGTCTTCTTCCATCACCCTTTATCTCCCCTGTACCCTCTTCTACCTCCCCCACACCCTTCTTTCCCTCTGGTAATCACCATACTATTGTCTGTGTCTAAGAGTTGTGGTGGTTGTTTTTTGCTTAATCCCTTTACCTTTTTCACCCAGTCTCCCCCCCCCCGCCACTCCCTCTGACAGCTGTCAGTCGGTTTGTTCTCTGTATCCATGAGTCTGTTTCTATTTTGTTTATTTTGTTCATTAGATTCCACATATAAGTGAGATCATATGGCATTCGTCTTTCTCTGACTGGCGTATTTCACATACTCTCCAGGTCGCTTCTCAGCCTTATGGCTAAGATCAAATGTAGTATCTGTTCTTATCAGTTTAGCAGTCATGTGAGTTTAAAAAAAGTTTGTCTAGTCTGTCCCTGGTTGGAGTCACAAGGCTAAATGGTATGAAATAAAGGCTCTGACAAGTTCTATAGTAAACTGTTGATTTTGTTTAACTTGGTTTTCCCAAACCTATTTTAACAGAATCTTTTAGGAATATTTGTTTATTTTACATAAAATGTAATACATTTCTTTGGAAGTGTAGGTAGGAGGGTAGATTTAACCGTGAAGACTAGGTGGCATTTCAACAGGGCTGCTGTTCCTTTCCTAGGAAATGGAATAGGAAAAGTTACAAATAGGAAGGCATTCAAAGGGTGGAAAATTTCCATTAGCAGACTAACATTTCTCCCCAACATATGGCTAAGAAAAGTGTACCATTTGAAGAAATATTATTAATTTCCTTCCAACAAGAGCTTATAAACTTCTTTTAGACTGTGTATAACATTGACATTTTGAGGAAAGTGAGAATTTTGAGTAGCAAAAACTAAATTATTTTCAGCTGTTGAGAAAATTCAATGCATAGTTAACAAATATCTTCCCTGCACAAAACCCAAGTCGGCGGCATAGTTAGAGGGGCTTTCACTTCCATGATGCCCTTTAGTCCTCACCAGTCGCACAGGTAGGGGTTGTTGTTCCTCTGGGCCTGACCTGGCGGGACTACGCTGGGGTACCTGCTTTCAGGCAGAGGTCGTTTGGGAGCCAGAGACCAAGTTCTGGACTGAATGGTTCCACATTCTGCTTGACTTGAAATTGTATGCTGTTTCCCTACCTGTGAAGTGGGCACAATACATATATACCCCTTCTCAAAAGTATCAGAAAGTGAAATATGAAATCTGGTGGATGAGGTGAGTTATTAGTTAAACGAAAAGTATATTCGTAACCCTTTAATGAATTCTTTTTATTTTGATGCTTTGTCTCATGAAGTTAGGTTTACTCACAGTGAAGGAAAGTGAAAATCACAGATTTTCTACTGAACCTTTTAACAATTACATGTTAAGGTGTTTCAGTCCGGACTTTCTGATGATAAAAATCCTAACAGCCATTCGGGGCACCGGTGGGGGGTGGGGGGGAGCAATTGCTCTTGTATCTGTTGAGTGTCATTGGATGCCTCACAAACAGCCCCTCCCCTCTTGCACCAGAATGTCCATAGACACAGAGTGGAAGAGGAAGATGGGGAGGTAATTCAGTGTCTTCTGGATATAGAAATATTTCCACAATATTCCTGACAAATCATCACAACTCATCTAACAAGAGGGACTGTCGTTTATATATACTCCCAAGCAAGAGGTTTCAGAACCAGACTAAAGCAGATTCCAATACCAGTTCCCCCATCTTAGTAGCCTTACGACCTCAACCAAGTAATTAAACCTCCACAACTCAGTTTCCTTACCTGTAAAACATGGGTAGTAATTGTATTATTCACTGTGTCAAATAGGTCATTAAGTGGAAAAAAGCATCTGACACATTTAACACACTGTCCTGTGTGTTGTGAATGCAAAAAAAAAAAAAAGTTTTGGTTATTATTGGTTAGTAAGTGCTTAATGAATATGTATTATTACCTAGCCCCTGCTTTGAGCAAATGTGCCTGATATTTGAATGAAAAGAAGTTTTCTGATTACGTGATGAAATAGAGTGGATTTAGTCAAGCTCTGGTAGGGGGTGGGGAGTGAACACCAGCTCCTTTGCACGACAGAGAACTCAACAGCTATAGTCGATTTGGATGCTTGGCTTGGGTTGGCTTTGGTGGTACAGGTAGTAGACACTAGAAACCTGGGCAGTCATTCTTTTAAGAAAATGGACTTGTAAGCATTAAGAACTCCTTTTAAGTTCAAACAAGACAGTTCGAGTTTTTCCATCCTACAATTTCCATTAGGCAGTTATTCCATCTGGTAATTATTGTGGACCCAAATGTTTTTTAATATATATTTATTGATATCAGAGAAGAAGGGAGAGGGAAAGAGAGTTAGAAACATCAATAATGAGAGAGAACCATTGATCGGCTGCCTCCTGCACGCCCCACACTAGGGATGGAGCCCACAACCCAGGCATGTGCCCTGACCGGGAATTGAACCATGACCCCCTGGTTCATGGGTCTACACTCAATCACTGAGCCATGCTGACCAGGCATGGGACCCACATTTTTGAAAGAAAAAGAAAACCAAACATATGAGAAATCAATGGACTGGACCTCACAGACTTTTATCCCAGCTTTTACTTTTATATGAAGCAAGTCTGCACACTTCTAACTCTCTGATTTCCATTTTCAAGATGAGCTAGTGAAGTAAATTCCTCCCTACATGCTAAATTATTCATATGCATTAAACTTGTGATTGGGGAAAGTCATGCAGACAGGACAGCCCTCTGAGCTTGTTGGCCAATGGGTAGTTGTCGAGCTGAGAATGGTATGTTGATCATACAACTGATGTTTCTGGAATGACAAATGTTTCCCATCAGTTAATAAAAATGTTTTTGGACAGGTGCATTCTTGAAATCAATGATAACAGCTCGATCCCTTGGTATTTATTGACATTCTCATCCTTGTCTCGTTGGCCTTAGGTTTAATATGCCTCATGACGACAGCAATAAGTGCAAAGAAGACGGAGCCAAGAGTCCCCAGCATGTCATGGCTCCAACATTGAACGTTTACACCATGCCCTGGAAGTGGTCAAAGTGTAGTCGAAAATACATCACTGAATTTTTAGAGTAAGACTTGAACTTTCTTGTAGCACAGACTTCTGGTATCTGGCCTTCGTGTAGTAATCTAATTGTGGGGGGGAAAATGTAGCGCTAAGCATTTTTTTTTTTTTAGTTGTTTTTTTGTTGACATTCCTTGGAGGAGGAAAAAAAAAATACTCTGCCATCTGTGCAGTTCATGTCTTTGCCCGAGTTCAGAAGATTACAGACTGAGCTAAAAAGAAAATTGAACCTTACAGAGAATGTGTAAATGTTGCTTTATTCCTGGTAAAGTTAGGAAATCTGTTCCGATCCTGGGGGAGGGACCATGAATGTGATTATATGATGAAGGAAGTCCACAAATATTTATGGGCTTTAACTTCGTCATTTTGGCTTGGAGAGGGGTAGGATAGTGAGGCAATCACAAAGAAGTTATCTGGTGGATGAAAATTGCAGCACAACTTCCTGTTGTTGAATGGAGGACCGATCTCTCTCTCCTCTCTCTCCTTTCTCTCCTCTCTTTTCTTGTTTTGTTTTTTAAGCTTCCTGCCAGGGTGCTCAAAGATCCAATTACATTGTACAATATCCCTGTGTCACGGACTTATTGCTTTTCTCTCCCAGAAGTACGAAAGGTTAAGTGATTGTCCGGAGGTCATTGGGTGTATATTTCTGCAACCACAGGAAAGAGAGGGCTTTATTAGTCAGAACTCACTGGGTGTGAATTTTCCAGAAGTGTTTGTAGAAAAGTCAAAAGGCCTGGAGGGCTGCTGGTTTTCCTCTTAATCAGGTGGCCTAAGGTGTTTCTCAAGAAAGTTGTTAATTAACTCACTCATCTATTCAACAACATTTACTAAACATCGGTTGTTATGGAAGATGAAAAAGACACTGTCTTTGCTGCTAAGAACTTACAGTCTTTTGGAAAAGATTGTAACAAAATTAAAAACAAAAAGATAATTGCCCTGAAATGTGATGAATGCTATAACAGATACATCTTTCCTACTAGCTGGGCTGTATACATAGCCAATCAGAGTACAAACAAGTATACACCAAAATATATAACTTCAGCTTCTAGATTTAACCCTGGGTGAAAAGAATAAAACAGATATAAGAAAGGAACTGTCCTGCGCTAGCTGGTTTGGCTCAGTGGATAGAGCGGCAACCTGTGGACTGAAGGGTCCCAGATTGGATTCCAGTCAAGGGCACATGCCCGGGTTGCAGGCTCAATCCTCAGTGTGGGGCGTGCAGGAGGTAGCTGGTCAATGATTCTCTCTCGTCATTGATACTTCTATCTCTCCCTCTCCCTTCCTCTCTGACATCAATAAAAATATATTTTTAAAATTAAAAAAAAGGAACTGTCCGCCCTACCATTACAATGGCAGATGGCCTTCCCTTTCAACTGGAGGTGTTGACAAGCCATGAGTCACCCACCACACTCACCATCTGTATTTTTGCTTTCCATAGCACTGGTTACGGCGAGTGTTTGCTTAACGAACCTGGATACAGAGCCTACAGTTTGCCTTACCAACTGCCAGGCCTCCTTTACAATGTGAATAAACAATGTGAATTGATTTTTGGACAAGGTTATCAGCTGTGCCCATATATGGTAAGTGTTTGGGGGTTAATTCTGGACTTCTTTTTATTCGTAGTTTTCCATTAGATTTTCACCTTAATATAAACCACCCATGGAAAAGTTGAGAATGGTCCATTGACTCTTAATGGAAGTAGAAATGACGAAGTCACAGTGTTCACTGGTAGATGGTGCTTTCTCCGCACTTTCCCATTTCCCTCTTGGGACAGTCCAACAGGAGATGCTCACAGAGGACAGGGTGCAGAGCTGGTGATGGCCGAGCTCAGCCCTTCTCTCTCCTCGTCTCTTCTCGTGCCCATTGACCTGTCTAGTTGACCTTTATTAGAGGAATTCTTCTAGATTCAGTAAAAGTAACGCATGAGACAAACCTGTTTCCCTGTTTTAGCTCATCAAAGCTGTTCCTGTGAAATCATTTCTGGTGGTAGCTCAGCTGGTGGGTGTGTGGCATTTTGATGTATGTGTTGTGGACATGTGGACCAATGATATGATCCAGTGGCCCTCAGATTTCAGAGGAGCTGAACTGTGCTTCTTTGGGGTGCCCCATTTTATCTCACTGGGTATATGTGTTTGTTCGTTTTGCTGGGAGAAATTTCAGAAATAACATGATGAATTGGGAAGTACAGTGATTCCATGGAAATACATAATAAGATATTTTGAGTAAAATCTATCCATGATTATATTCATTTCTGTGTTATTCACGATAGTAAACTTTAGGAGTAATCCAAATGCCCAATAATAGAAATGTTGAGCCAATTATGGTGTCTCTAGTTAGTGCAATACTATACAACAGTTAAAAATTAACCACACTTGGAAACATGATCCTGATATCTTTTAAGTTAAAATAACAGGATAAATAATTATTTTGTAGAGCATGTTTTCAACTGTAAAAGCCAAGAAACTACAGGAAAGACTGAGTAGTTTGAGGCTCTTCTATTTTTTAATAAATAAATTATTAGCCCTGGGTGGTGTTGCTAAGTGGTTAGAGCATCATCCCATGCACTGAAGAGTCTTGGGTTCAATCTTGGTCGAGGACATGTACCTGGGTTACAGGTTCAATCCCCGGCCCCAGTTGGGGTGTGTGTGGGAGGCAACCAATGTGTCTCTCTCACATTGATGTGTCTCTCTCCCCCCCGCCCCATGTCTCCCTCCCTTCTTACTCTCTCTCAAAAAATCAATGAAAAACATTTTCGGGTGAGGATTAATATAAAATAAAATCACATTTTAGTACTTTCTAAATGTCTCTATTATGAGCATGGTTTAGTGTACTAATCAGGGAAAAGTTCTTTAAAATGTATGTCCCGAAATAGAGCTAAATATATCAACTTGTATGAATCTAAAACATACTGTGTGCATGTGTAGAGGGGGAAAGCAAGTTGCAAGGCCTATGAGCATATCCTGAAATGCTGAATGCTATTGTTTGTTTCAAGTTGAAATGTATAACATACATTTGGGGTCAAAGCAACGGGAGCGAAGAAATGCTGGCCACCACTCAGGACAGTGGTCATCTCTGGGAGAAGGGGAAGGGATTGGGACTGAGGAGGGATGTGCCAGGCCTTCAGCTGGGCCTGTGAGGTTTTCTTTCTTTAGTTGGGTGGTGGGTCCATGGCTATCCATTATATGGCTGTTTGCACTTTTTGTAAGTCTGAAATGTTCACAATAGTTTGTCCCTTTTTCCCTCTGATAATTCCTGACACCCTAGAAAGGAGTCATCCGATGACTGTGGAATTATGTAGCCTACCAGAAGAAAGCACTAGTTTTGCGGTCAGGCCAAACCTAAACTGAAATCGCAGCTAATCCCAACACCTGATCTCCAGTCGCACTGGATGCACGGAAGCCCCCTTTTCACACCATCTCACGTCCTGCCAGCAGACATGTGTCTCAGGAGCTGGCCTCTGTGTCCCTCGGAATATTTGATCACTTATCATACCAAGAAATCAAACCCCTTTTCAACCGATACTGTAACATTGGCAAAACATTAACTGGAAGTAATGCTGGCCTTGTTTGCTGTCATCTAATCATGGTGTCTCTGATTGTCATGTCACTGAAATAGCAGATGCAGTGCCGACGACTCTGGTGCAGTAACGCGGACGGAGCGGATATAAACAGCAAAGGCTGCCAGACTCAGCACACGCCCTGGGCCGATGGCACCGAGTGCGAGCCTGGAAAGGCAAGTAACGCCCCAGCCCTGCCTTCTGTCTTGGGGCAGAAATGGGCAAGGTTTCGGCTGCAGGGCCAGTCGCCGCTGTTGGCTGTTAGTGCAGAGTGTTTTAGCATGCAGGATACTTCTTTGAGGCAAAAGGTCTCGTTTTACTATTGAAAATGGTGAAAACTTAAAATTGTTGCTTAATATTGGTCCAATGCACATGGCTATAACTATTGCCTCCATTTTAAGACATACTTTTTCTCATTTTGATATTTCTGAAACCCCAGTGTGCTTTTTAATGTATAGGTACATTTAATGTGAGGTAATCTTTCTTTTCTTCTTTCTGTCTCTTTTGGAGGCGGCAATGGAATTCTATTCATATATGCTGAAACATCTTAAAACCAAAGAAACGGAGAAATACAGTAAACTTACTGTGTTCACTACTGGGATGCCAGGCTTTTCCCAACCTTTGTCCCTTTAAGAAGTGATGATGTTACCTAGGATATATCCAAGTCCAAATTCTCGGTTGGTTCCCACTTGTTAGTAACCACACAAAATATGCTACTTGCATGGCCCGATGATAACAATGTCCCATGCATCTAGGAGCATGATTAATGCAACTTGCTTCACCTGGTATCCATCTCAGAAAAAAAAAAAGTAACTATATTAGTGATATCATCATCACCCAAAAATTTGGTTAGAAAGTGTTTTCTAACCCATATAAACCCTGATTTTTTTAATCCATATGGAAAATGGATTTCACTCAGCAATGATGCAACTCCTGGGTTATATTCTGAGTCCTTTGTCTTTCTTACATATATTTTTCCTGTCTTTTCTCTTCTTCCCATTGTCTACTTTGCTCGCTTTTAATATTTTATTCTCATCTCACATTTTTCCCCTCCACTTTTCCTTATGGAATCAATAGCACCAGTTTCCATGGAAGGGGTCCTAAAGAGATGACGGAACGGAATTCTCTTTTCCCCAATTTTATAGATAGGGAACAGAAAAAGAAGCGGTTTGCCCAAGATCTCACAGTTCATTCAGGACAGAGTCCCCGACACCTGAGCCCTTGCCCTCCGGAACTCCCACCTCTGTTTGGTCTGAAGGGGCCGTAACTGAGCTTCAGTTTCTATTGGTCAAACAGGAGGACTAGTGGTTTCTTCGCTCATCTCTCAGGCGGTAATAGTTACCTAAGCTGGAGGGCATGAACATTATTTGAAAAACACAAAGTTCAATACAAAATTACAATGAAGGTGATTTTTTACTTGTCTTGGTGACTGAATCAGTTCAACTTATCAGTTCTTAATGGCTAGGACTTCAGCAATTAAGTATACACCTTTCCCCAATGACAACCTCACCAAAGCTACATGCAGACATAGGTACAGCCACCTTTGTACCTTTTATTAGCTTAAAAAGAAATATATCTCCTTGGTCAAAGCGAATCTTGCGCTTTTCGTGGGACATTTAACTCAACGTGTTGATGGCCAGAGGGTCATAGCTTTGAGTGGGGAATAGGTTCTTGGGTTTTCATGGCAGCCTTTAGGAATCCACTCATCGTTATGAAATGAAGAGGCCTCAGAGTTCTAAACACAGTGGCCCTGACAGCTGCCACCAGTTGGTGGGAGATGCCAGTAGACATGATACCCTGTTGATGACTTGGTGAGTGGGCTTGACTTAGAGCCAGTCAACTACGTTACTTACATCGAACCTGTTTAATCTCAGAAAAATCACTAGCATTGTTTTGTGGTTCTTAGTCAATCTGATGTACCCACCCAATATGTCCATTTCTGACACATGCTATTGCTTTAAGAAACTCTAACAAAGAAGGATTCTCAATAATATGACTCAGTGAATTACATTTAGTAAGTTGTCATAAACAGGCTGCCAAGTGCCATGTAGTGACATGGTATCCCACTCAATCCTGGAACACAGAACGTGGGAGGATGTCTGTTGTGTCCTTTTCCAATCTTCTGTTTTTGTAGCAGACGCAGATGATAAGGGGCTGCAGGGTAATCTTATGCCTGAGGGATGGGAAATGTGGGAGATCTTTCAGAAGGCTTTTTCAATGTATGCTCCAGTTCAGCAAGAATGAGGGACTTCAGGGCATTCCAAGGGCAGATACAGAACACGTTCTGGGCAGCAACTCTGCAGAGAAAATGATGGGGACCTTTCTAGTTGTGTTTTAGGAAAGTGGGGAAAAGTGTCCGAGTCTAGTAGCTTTTACTAAAGAACTGGGGATATGTGTGTTTATTTGCCTGGAGAGTATTTATGCATTTTACAAATGCCAGAGATGTTGGCATAGAAATTCTGTGTGTTCTTCATTTTGTTTTTATAGAATTGGCAGTAAAACCATACACTTTCCTCTAGCAAATTCAACCTCCCTTGGCGGAGGGGTTCATTTTTTTTCCTTTCTCTTCATCCCGCCCTGCTCCCTCTGCAGGGAGCTCTCCCGAGCTGCTGACAAATGTTATTGTGATGAGCGTCTCTGTCTCTTTATTTTCCCCATTCTCTTGTTAAGTCCATTAACATTTTTATTTAAGCCCTGTTTGTGAGTCCCAGGTTTGAAACTTCTGTTTGAAGCCTCCTTGGCACAAAATTGATCCCCAAGTCCCTTTTCCAACCTCTTTTTTTTTTTTTTTGAAGTGACTTGGCGATTATTTAGGTAGAATATCATTTAAATGGATCTGGACACTTTTAGGAAAGGCTGACTATATTTTGGCTGGGGTTCTACCAGCCACTTAATGATTTGTTATGATGTAAGGGCTATTCCAATATCTAATTATTGTTTGTCAGCTTTGCCTGGAAAAATAGACTATCTTGGTACATATTTGCCAAACAGCCATGGTTCCCAGCCTCTGTCACCTGAGGCAGTCCCCTGCTCCTCTAAGGCTCTTCCTCTCCTCTGAATACCTGTCCACGGTCATATCAGTAAGACGTGTATCCTTTGTAGACGAGTGTTCAATTAGAAGCTTACTTTTTTAAAGGGACCATGTTAGGACATTTGGGTGCAGTGCTGAATGGTAGCACTCTGGCATTTTGCTCTGAAGTTTATTGTTTGTTCTTCTATGGAAGTAGCGTCTATAGAATAGAGAGAGCAACAGACTGCAAACAGTGTCAAAAAGAAAAAATATATATATCCAGGCAATTTCTTATTATTAAACTCCATGAATCGTCATAGGAACTTTTTCCTTACTTTGTGGAATTTATAAACTGTGTATCTGGCACCAAGACTGGAAGGCTGAATTTGGGCAATAGCTATGACCTCAATTATATATTAATTAGAACTGTTGTCCAGGTCAAACCCAATTATAGTAGTGTAAGCAAACTGCATCTTTTTTTTTTCTGACACAAAAAAAACTAGTCCACATTGAAACAGGTTATGGAGCTGTTGTGGCAGCTCCCCCAAATCATCAGAGACCCAGGCTCCTAATTTCTTTCTACTCCACTATCACATGCAAATGGTCTTCATCTTCAAAGTCACAAAATAGCTGCTGCAGCTCCAGCCATCAAGTCTGAGTTCCAGGCAGAATGAAGCCAAAGGACAAGGAACAAAGGGGCAAAGAACCTTCCCAGAATCTCACCCAATGAATCCTGCTAACATCTCTTTGACCACTCTTATCTGTTTAAGAATCAGGGGATATACAGAGTCTGTACCAAGGATGAAAGGGAGAGTGAATATCAAGTAGACAACTTAGATTTACCAAACCATTAATTTGCTTTTATTTTAAATTTCAGTCTTTATTTAGATGTCAGAATGGCCCCATTTGCTCACAATGGAGAGACAGGCAGCATGTGTCACAGCTAGGGGTGCACTCTTGAGTCAGATGGTCTAATGGTTAGGCTCTGCCTCTTACTGAGGTTTGGCCTAAACCCCTTTGTTCCTTCCCTTGCTTTTCTGTAGAAATGGGGGTAACTAACAGTACTACTTCGTCGTGTGCTGTGAGAGTTAAGTAAGTTAATATGGAAGTTAAGTAAGTTAATATGGAAGTTAAGTAAGTTAATAATGCTTAGCACAGGGCCTGACAAATATTAAGTGCATATGTTTGCCATTATTTTTGCTAACTCTAAGTCTGGTCCCTATGTGCTCAGCTGTGTAGTGGGTGCTTAGATGCACTGTCCCCTGTTACACTCCAAGACAACTTTGGTCGCTTTTCATCTGTGGAAGCGGAGTTCAGTGACTCCCCGAAGGGCACAGCGCTGTTAGTGGAAACTAGACTTTTGCTGCTACACCTGTCCCTGTGCTGTCCAGAATGGCAGCCACTAGCCACGTGCAGCTGGTGAGCATTTGAGATGTCAGTCTGAACCGAGATGTACTTAAGTGGAAAAACACGCCAGGTGTTGAGACCTAGATGGACAAAAGGATTTAAAAACTCATTTATAATTTTGTATTGATTATACATATAGAAATAATAATGTTTCAGATATTTTGAGCTAAATAAGAGATATTAAAATTAATTCCCGTTTTCTTTTTGTTTTAATGCGGCTTCTAGGAACTTTTAGTCTGGCTTAAAGATGTGACTCAAGTCGCATTCTCCTTGGGGAGTGGCGCTCTAGACCAGCGGTCGCCAGCCTTTTGGACCTCATGGGCCACCAGTTGGCGACCGCTGCCTGGAAAGCTGCCGCTGTCATTTATCCCTAGTGCGTGTGTGCCCAGAATGTTCAAGACCAGGGTAGAGTCGCATGGGAAGTGGCTTCAGGGGTGTTGTGGGCACCTCTGCCTCTGCCCGCATGTCTTGGGAACCGAGTTGCCCAGGATTCTTTGGAGGCAGAACCTTCTAGGTCTCAGCCAAACAGCCCAGAGGAAGGGACGAGTCCTCAGATACTCGGAGAAGTTAGTTACGAGGAAGAAGACGCAGCAGAATAGACAGTTTAATTACACTCGTTCACCAAGTCTTTCCTGGGACCAGCCATTCAGACTGGGACCTTCACCTGCCTCTTTTTGCTCACTTTCCCCAAATATGAACCCACAC